AATAATATTTTCAACAAATGATGCTATGAAAACTATTAGATCATCAGAAAAGTCATGACATATATTTCCATGCAAAAATGTATCAAGACTTTCTCAATGACCCAATAAATATCCACATACAAATTTTATATGTCCATACAAAAATTAACTCAAAATGGATCTGAGCTAAATGTAAGGATTCGAACCATAAAACTCTTAGAAGAAAACATATGAAGAAATCTTTGTGAACTAGAATTAGCCAATGGCTTCTTATATATGACATCAAATGCATAAGTGACAAGACAAAAATAAATAAGACCTCAAAATTGAATGTTTCAAAAAACAACATCAAGAAAGTGAAAAGAATGTCTATAGAATGGGAGAGAAATATTCACAAATACATATGTGATAAGGGACTTTTATCCAGAATATTTAAACAACTCAACATTAAAAAATAAATAAATAAAAACAAATAACATGGGCCAGCCTCTGGCATGATGGTCAAGTCAGCCAAATCCCACATGACTAACTGTGAGGTTTGAGTCCCAGACCCAGCAGGTTGAAAAACACATTGAACATGTATAGACACATGCCCAAAATCCCAAGAGGAGAATGGGAGAGACATGACTGCTATGGCCATTCCCACTGAAAGGTGTTCTTTTCTCTCTCCCTCTCTCTCTCAAGTGAGCACACACACCCTTCAGCAAACTAAAACAGACAAGCAAACAAACACAAATAACTCAATTTTTTAAATGAGAAAAGGATTCGAGTGGACACTTCTTTAAATAAAATATGCAAATGATCAATGAGCCCACAAAAAGATGTCCCACATCAGTAGTCACTAGGAAAATGCAAATCAAAACCAAAATGAGATACCACTTTATACCCACTAGGATGGTTAGATCAAAAGGACAGATAAAAATAAACTGAGAATGTGGAGCCCTCGTACTTGTTGATGGGAATGTAAAATTGTGCAGTCACTTTGAAAAACAATTTGACAGTTCCTCAAAATGTTAAATATATAGTTACCATACAATCAGCAATTCTATTTCTAGGCATATACTTGAGGAATATAAACCTATGTTCACACAAAAACTTCTATATAAATATTCATAGTAGCATTATTCATAATAACTGAAAAGTGCAAAACAACCAAATGTCTAACTGATGATGGATAAACAAAATGTGGTATATCCATACAATGGAATACCAGTCAGCCATAAAAAAGAATGAAGAACTGTTACATGCTACTATATGGATAGAAATATGCTAACTGAAAAAAGCCAGAAATTAAAAAAAAAACACATATTACATGATTCTATTCATATGAAATGTCCAGAACAGGCAAATCTACAGAGACAGAAAGTAGATTTGTAGTTACCATGGCCTGTGGGTGAGGTAAAAGGGAGATAGGGATCCTCACTAATAATTACAGTGTTGCTGGAAGAGGGGTAAGAAAAATGTTCTAAAGTTGGTTGCAGTGACAGTTGCATAACTCTATGAGTAAGAGTGGACTTCAAAAATTTGTGAAAAAGAAAAACTGGAATGAAAGTACAAGTTTGTTTTGGTGCAAAAAGTTTTTAGAACCCATGAATAGTTTTAGTCATAATATGAATTTTCCACGAACTTTTTGAAGAGTTCTTGTACACAAAACCTATTGAACAGGGCATCCTAGTCCATTTTCTGTTGCTGGAACAGAGTACCCAGGAATGGGTAATTTACAAAGAAAAGAAATTTATTTAGCTCATGGTTCTGGGGGCTGGGAAATCCAAGAACATGAATCGTCAGCATCTGGTGAGGGTCTTGCTGTATCATGACACAGCACATGGCAAAAGGGCAAGCGTGTGTCGGCTCAGGCCTCTCTTCCTCTTCTTGTAAAGCCACCAGTCTGATGATCTTACCTAACTCTAATGACCTCCCAAAGGCCCCAGCTCCAATCATCAACATATGAATTTAAGTTACTAAGTTTTCAACATAGTAACTTTGGGGGGACACATTCAAACCATAGCAAAGGGTGAATTTTCTGGTATGTAAATGATAAATCTGTCGTTTACAAAAGAAAAGAGAGGAAAAGAAAAAATACATCTCCTGACTTATGCCTTCCCTTCTACCTCTGTCCTTGGGTACTGCCCTCCAACAGCCAAACCTACCCAGATGCCAAGAGGAAAGTAGTTTGGGAAAGGTAGTCCCCTATAGGCATGAGAAGGGTGGAGACATATCTCTCCCTCATCTCGGACACCCCAGCATCTACCCCATGACCTGGCATGAAATATTAGTTCTGTAAACATAAATAGCATTTGTTAAATCCCTAACCGGCCCCTCATCAAGTCTCTGCCAGGTGGCACAGAGGGGTTTTCAAATGTAAATGACTCGATGACTCAGAATCCTATGACCAGTGAGAAAAGCTGTCACTCTCTGTCACCTTTCTCTTGCCCCCTGGTCCCAGAAGGCACTGGGGTTGGGGGGTTGCTGAGTGAGGTGAGGAGGGTTGGAGGGCGGAGCAGAGGTGGGAGGGGCAGAGAAAAGGGCTCCTCTCACTGCTTAAAAGGGCTCGGTACCACTTCCTCCCCAGACAGGGGTAGGTGAGACAGAGGCACAGCCTTCCTGTGGTTGCAGCGCCCAGAGAGTGCCATGGACCTGGGTGAGTGAACGTCCCCGTGTGAGGAGGAACAGCGCCGCGATCTCCTGGGCACCCAGACTAACCCTGTGGAATGGGAGTGGGCATGAGCTTGGTGGGAATTGGTGGCTGCTTCTAAAGAATGCCACTCTACTGTCCCAGGAAAGGACCCTGGGGAGGGGGCAGGTACTAGGAAAGACACGGGAGTCCAAGGTCATGTCTTTCTAAAAGAGCAGAACTGAAGAAAGGGTAGGGCAGGGCTTGGTGACCAGGGCCAGTTTCATCAGGGGGAAATTGTCCTCAGAGTGCTCAAGGTTCTCCACCTCCCTGATTCCCACCTTCCTCCCCTGCTAAATGGGGATCAGTTTCTGTCCTCTTGGCATTATGAGGAAGGGCAAAGTAGATGAGGCCGTGTTGCGACTGTCACAGTGCAAATGAAAGCTACGCTGTCCTCTCTGCTGCTCATCTACCAGCTTTGTAGTCGCTTTGCTGTTGTCTCTTGCAAGTTTTTATTAGTTTTTTGCTTTGTTGTTTTAAATACAAAAGGGCATATGCACATGAAAGAGAGAGAGAAAACCCATCAAGGGGGCTTGGTCACTCCACAACCCTTTTCCCTCCAACCCTCCATCCCACCAGTATCCCGGGCACACGCACACACACACACACACACACATGCATGCATGTGCATGCTCATGCACTTAAGTGTGTTTTAACTGGGCTGGGATTCAAGCCCCAGTCAACTATGTGCTCTACACAGCACTTAACCGCTGTGCTACAGGGCCACCCCACTGCTTGCAAGTTAAAGGGTGGGTGGGCAACCTGAAATGGGACACCAGGGGGCATTCGACTTGGAGAAATCATAGCAGGGCCATCAGCTCTGTCCCCTGTCCCTGGGCAAACCTCTCTTATTCTACTGTGCTCTCCTCTTTAATAGCTCTTCCTCTTGTCTAGCCTCAGACTTAACTGGAAGGGGTTCACCCAGCTCAGTACCCCACTTCTCAATCTCAGCTGTCAAGTGAGACCTGAATAGGCTAAGCAGGCCAGGTTCCTAGATGGCTCATCTCACCAGCAAGCAAAGCACCACAGCGGCCTCAAAGCCACAAGGGGTTGGCTTTAAAAAGTGAAGGTTCACTGGTGCTGTCCTCCCACCCCTCCCTGCCACACCACAGCCTTCCCGCCTTCATCTCTGCCTTCCCTTTCTGCCCTGAACCCTGGGTCTGGACCCAGAAAACAGCTGGGAGAGGGTTAAAGTAGTTACCCCATGCTCTGACTTGAACTCCTAGAAGGCAGGTTCTGATATGCATCTCTGCATCCCTGGGTGCTTTGAGGATGTGAAAAAAAAAAGTGTTTGTGAAATGAACGGATGGAGAGGATGGATGATGGATGGATTGATGGAGAACTCTTAAGTAGATAGGGGTTTATGAAAATCTCTTCCAGTTTCTTCCCCAGTCAACATGCTTTTTAATCCACTGCCACTGACCAGGATACCAGAAGGTGGCATGACCCCTGGAGACCCTGCTCCAGCCTGTCATTTGACCTCAGTGAAGGAAACCAAGCAGTGGCCCAGTGCTACCCTACTCAGCTCCCTAGGGTGAACGAAAAGCTCTGAATCCATTGTTTGCCCATGTCCATAGTATAAATTCTCCTGCCCTAGCTGACTTGAAGCATTCAGTCAACTTCAGGCCATCAGCATGACTTAACCAACCCAGAGCTAGGAAGAGGTATACAATTGACTTAGTGAGCCCGAGCGCGGCTCCAGCGCAGCACTGTGTGGCTTCCCCATGGAGCGGGTTTGGGGGGCTAGAATCCTGGGTTTTGATGAAAGCAGGAGTGTGATCTCTGGTCTAGGAGAGGGGGTGTTCTTGCCTCTTCAGTCAACTCAAGAGAGCCCCAACGGCTGAACCCAAAATACTGGTAGAAGGGGAAGCCACTGAGAAGCCTTGCTCAAAACAGGCTCCGGACCGTTGGTAAGGCGGGTGGGCCACAAAAGATCTGTTTTTCTGTTCTTCATCTGCCCAGCAGGGAGCAAAAGGTGAATGAGGAGGCAGAGTTTCTGTTACACAAAATGAAAACTCCGAACCAGGGCTGAGCTGGTCTTTTTTCACAGTTTGAATGAAAAGCCCCAGGGTGATCTCCCCACCTTCAAGAAATGGGGTCAGAGATCTCAGACAGAATTCTCAAAAGCAAAGTAAAAGAACCCATGAGAGACATGTGTTTCACAGCCTGGCCATAAATGGTGACAGAGGAGGATGCTAAAGGAATTCCCTCCTGGCTTTCCAGAAACTTGGCTGAGGCAGAAAGGAACAGTGTAAGCTGGGTTAGCTGTTGAAAAACCCCTCCGCACTGACTTGAACTTTATTTAGTCAACTATCATTGTGGGACAGATTCAGGGATGACCAGGCTGGTGGGCAGAAAGGCATATCTGTCAATAATAACCCTCAGCAACTGAGTGAAATACAACACTGATGGGAGTAAGGGCGAGATAAAAGGGAATAGTGAGCACCGGTCAGAGAGATATGTAAGGTGACTTTTCAAGGATGTTTAAGAGTTGAAAATCCTGGGGACAGCCATTAGTGTAATGGCTATGTCGCTGGACTCCCATGTAGTTGACCACAGTTCAAGTCCTGGACCCAGTGGCTTAAACTCATTTTGGGCAGGCGTGCATGTGTGCCCAAGATCCTGAGAGGAGAGTGGAGGAGAAGGGATTGAGGCATGGCCATTCCCCTAGGGGGTGATTTCTCACTCTCTGTCTCTCTGTCTCTCTCTGTCTGGCTAGCGAGTGCACGCGCCCTATAGCAAAAACCTCTCAAAAAAAAAAGAATTGAAAATCCCAACAAAGAAGAGCAAGAGGCCCAGGGTGTGGCAGAGATGGCAAACTCTTCTACCATCGGAGGCCAACGAGAGGGAAGGGGCATAAGACATGGGGAGTGGAGGGACGTAGAGTAAGCCAGAGAGTACATGCCCCACCTAAAGCCATCCAAATCCAGAGTTTGAAGGCTCCAAACAGCCAAGAAGAGCATCCTGGGAACTCAGCCTGCAGCCTCACAGATGGTCAGCTATGATAAAAGTAAGAGAGGCTTAGGGCCAGCAGAAGGCATGGTGGTTAAGGCACTGAACTCTCACATGGCCGACTGCAGCCCAAGGCCCGGACCTGGAGTCTTGAAAATCACTACAGGCACATGCGTGTGCATGCCCAAAATCCCAAGAGGAGAGTGGAGGAGGAGAGATTGCAGCGCTACAGTCCCATGGGGAGTGATTTCTTACTTTCACTTCCCCTCTCTCTGTCTCTCTTCAGTAAATGCGCACACCCTATGGCAAAAACCTTAAACAAACAAACAAGAGAAAAGAAAGAAGAGAGACAAGAAAGAAGCAAGTTGACTGTGTGGGAACAATGAGTTTAAACTTTATCCTGAAAGCAGTGGGAACCAGTGAAGATTTTTCTTTTTCACATGAGTGAGTTAGGGGATAAGATGTGTGTCTTGGAAAGGCCAGCAGAGCCCGTGTCAGGGCAGAGTTGGGGCCCTCTCTGAGAGAAGTCGGAGGACAGAAGCAGCAGAACTGGGCGACCAGGGAGATGTGGAAGCTCACGGCTTTCCTTCATGCCTGGTGGAGGACCCTAACATGGCCGGCTCCTCAAATATTGCATGATACAGGAACGAGACCCCAAACCTGACTGTCCTGTTCAAATCTCCCATGTATCTCTTAGCAAGTGTGAGCCCAAGCAAGTAGCTTAAGCTTTCTGGCTCCTATTTTCTGGAATATGGTATGAAAATCACAAGGGGGTAGCTTACAAGATGTTAAGAGAGAAAGATAATGAAGACTAAGTGGCAGCACGAAAGAATGGTTAGGAGTGTGGTTTCCGGAGAGTGGGTTCCAGGCTACGCTAAGAGCTAGCTATGTGACTCTGGGAAAGTTATATCCTTGTCGTGCCTCAGTGGTGAGTGGGGGTAACCCAAGTGCCTACTTCATAAAGCCATCGTGAGGTTGAAACAAGATGGGACACATAGTGAGTGCTCCAGGGGTGTGACACTGTCACTGGGTAAAACAGTTCATATCCCAGTGATTGCAAAATTCAACCATCTCTCACCCATCCTTGTTGTCTGAAAGAGGGGTCCTGGGTCTCCTACCACCTCCTACCACTTCCCTGCTTCTTCCTTCTCCTGCCCAGTGAAAGAGACAAGTTGTGTGGGCAGGTGAGGAAGTCCAAAGAGCAAAAAGCCTGGGGTGTCTCTTGGGCCAGGCCAATGGGCAGCCATGATTTCCAGGGCAGCCTGGGAAAATGGGGTGGACATTCAGAGTTTGAGGGGCAGCTGGCCAGCAATCCCCTCCTCCCATATGGGAAGTTTCTAATGCTGGGGGCTTAGAGTGATGTTTTAGGGAATTTTCTTTTCATGGTGATTGTCATCAAGAACTTAAGAACTCAGAAAACCCCCAAATCCTACGTCAGTCATGCCTTAACCCCTGAGATTCCCAACCTCGCTGGTCTTGCCCAAGCTGCTGCCCAAGACCAGTTGCTTTATGACTTTGTCGCAGACAGGAATGATCTGACTCACGGCCACTGACCACGCAAGTGCGGGGAGTGCCGAGTCCCTGTCACACACCAGAGTTCCCCTAAGTTCCCCCGCCATCGTTCTTGCAAAGGGCCTGCTCTGACCTGTCAGACCCCCTCTCATCCACCATCTCCAACATATCTGGAATGAAATCCCCTACACACATGCACACACACACACACACACACACACACACACAGCTCCCCATCCCCTGACAGGAACAAAAGGAATGGAACAGGGCCCAGGAGAAGGAGTCGATAGAGTCAAGTAGAAACACAGTTCTTGGTCCTCATTTTCACGTGTTATGACTTATCAAAACTGAGATTCCCAACCTCGCTGGTCTTGCCCAAGCTGCTGCCCAAGACCAGTTGCTTTATGACTTTGTCGCAGACAGGAATGATCTGACTCACGGCCACTGACCACGCAAGTGCGGGGAGTGCCGAGTCCCTGTCACACACCAGAGTTCCCCTAAGTTCCCCCGCCATCGTTCTTGCAAAGGGCCTGCTCTGACCTGTCAGACCCCCTCTCATCCACCATCTCCAACATATCTGGAATGAAATCCCCTACACACATGCACACACACACACACACACACACACACACACACACAGCTCCCCATCCCCTGACAGGAACAAAAGGAATGGAACAGGGCCCAGGAGAAGGAGTCGATAGAGTCAAGTAGAAACACAGTTCTTGGTCCTCATTTTCACGTGTTATGACTTATCAAAACTTTGAGGTTTCTCGGTTCTCACTGACAGTCAGAGTCGGCTTTCTCTAGAGTAACTGAAAGACATTTACGTGTTTAAGAAACCTCGAGCACCCAGCCACTCGTCTCAAGATGTGGAGGATGGGAGGTACACTTGGCCCTGAAGACAGCGTGGTTAGCACAGCCATGTGGCCTGAGCTCAGGCGCTCCAGGGGTATTTCAGCAAGACATGGGGACTAAGAGGGACCGTGCTTCTGTACAAGGATGCATTCTTGCCAGGACTGCAAGTGATCAGGGTCAACCTGGAGGCAAGGGGGTGCCTGTCCCCAGGAATAGTTAGGAAGGCAAATTCGAGTCACCAGTGGAGGGCTTGACTGCTATGCTTAGCACTAGGGCCTTCATCCTTATGGTCAGGTAAGGATGAAGATGGGGATTCCCTAAGGATTTAGAAGGAAGACACCGTGAGTTTTGCCAGCAGAGTTACGATGTAGGAAGATGTGTCTAGCAATAAGGTGCCAGAAAATTTGTACAAGATGGGCTAAAAAAATTATTTATGTAGCCTGTTGCCCTTCCTTTACCCCCTAAGAACTCCCAATTCCAGACACGAGCCTCCACCCCCAATCCTACCGCATGCTCCCCATGTACTCTTCCTGCAGCATTTTAAGTGCAACCCAGGTGTCATGCAGTTAGGTTTCCAGCAGGTGGTGCTGTGGCCAAGGACACAAAGCCACTGGCTTGTGATGCTTCCCCAACCTCCAGAGGTCCCCTCACCCAGCATCCAGACAATACCTCAAAGACTGGTGCCTTGTATTTCCTGTCCCTACTGAGACTGGAATTGCCACGGGCCTGCAAGTCCTGTCTTGGCATTCACTCCTAGCATCACAGTTCCTGACCCTCCTGTGAGCCAGCCCTGGCTAGGAACTTTGGGTCAAGTTTGGGGAGGGGGCTATAAAAGAAAAGGCAGGGCCAATAGATGCTGTGGTGGTTATAAGGCAGCTGGATCCCACTTGGTGGACTGAGTAGTTCAAGTACCAGACTGGCAGCTTGAAAAACACTGGGCTAGGTCCAGCAGATGGCATGGTGTCTAAGGCTCTGGATTGCCATATGGCTCACGACAGTTCAAATCCTCGACCTGGCAACTTGAACATAGTGGCAGATGCATGTGTGTATGTGCCCAAAATCCCAGGAGGAGAAGAGATTGTGGCGTGGCTGTGCCCCTGGGGGATGATTTCTCACTTTCTCTTTCTCTGTCTCTCTGTCTCTCTCTGTCAAGCACACATACCCTATGGCAAACACCAAAACCATAAGAAAAAAAAAAAAAAAAAAAAGGGGGGGGGAAACAAAGGAAAAGAAAGAAAGAAAAGAAAAAAGAAAGAAAAACATGCCGACACACTAGGTATGAGTGCATGTGTGCCCCAAGTCCCGAGAGGAGAACAGAAGAGAAGAGATTGTGGCATAGCCATTCCCCTGGGGTAATTCTTTATTTTCTCTTTCTGTCTATCTCTGGTGAGCACACACAAACTATTAGCAAAACTTAAAAGTCAAAAAGAGAAAGGAGACACATCTCCCACCCTGGAGCTGCTCCCAGACTGGCAAATGAGATCAGACTTCTGCAAAGTTATCGGTCAACTGCCCTCCCTGCTCAGTCCTCCAGGTCGGCCTAAGGCTCAGCAATGAGGCAGACCTGCACCTTGGTCCTCAGCACACCCAGGGTTTGTGCTAACCTGGGTCTCCCTATAGCGGCTGATCAGTGACCCTGCTCCTCCTACCACCCATCACTCAAGGCCTTGAATTAGAAAACAAGTTTAAGGAGAGAAGATACATACACGCACTTCAGTTAAGAAAGAAAACAAAAGTAATTAGGGACCAGCAGATGGCATAATGGTTACATCACCGGACTCCCATAGAGTCAACAGCAGTTCGAGTCCCAGACCCAGTAGCTTAGAACTCCTGCCAGGTGCGTGTACGTGTGTGCCCAAAAGCCCGAGAAGAGAATGGAAAAGGGATGGCAACGTGGCCATCCCCCTTGGCCAGGGGGTGATTTCTGACTTTCTGTCTCTCTGTCTCTCTGGCAAGTACACATGCCCTATAGCAAAAATCTCTCTTTTTTTTAAAAAAAAAAAAAGTAATTATACCAAGAATACTGTCCATTCTACCACATTGCCAAGGACAGTGTCCCCTCAGGCCACCTGGGTGCTCCCTATCTTGGAAGCAGGACAAGCAAGGCATCTATCATTCATTTCTTTATCAGCACACCACTTCTGGCACCTCCTTGACTCTGGGCATGTACTTCTAGGGAAAAGGGGAGAGTTCCTGCCCCAGAGGCAGTCTGAGGGGTGGGCCAGGTGGGCCAGCAGTCAGTGCTCAGTGCATGTCAGTGGAATGAGGGCTGTTGCGGAGAGAGCTGGATCCTCGAAGTACTCCACCATCACTTACAGGCCAGGAAGGAGCCTCCCTCCTCCACTCAGCCCCATGAAATCACCCGGGGGACACTCAGGGCTTCATGCATGGCTGGCCACTCACCTGCACCCCAGAGAAACGCTCCCCAGGCCAATGGCTCCTGGCTCCAAAGCAGCACAGGACAGGTGTGCACACACGCCATTACCTCAGGGTCTTACTTCTCTGCAGAGTTTGGAGTGGGAGGGGTGTCAGGGTTAGTCAAAGCTGTCTTGAGGTGGTCTGGGCTACAGTGGAGAATCTGGGGCACCCCTCCACACCCCAGATGGGCCGAGATAGGGGATGTGGAGGGGTGCCCCAGATTCCGATGCTGCTTCTTTCTGGAACCTGAGAGAGGAGGAGGAGAAGGAGGTGAGGACAGTGATGCCGGGCAGTGGGCCAGGTGTTCAAAGGCACAATCTGGTTCTGATGTTCTCTTTTAGCAAACGTAGTGCCTGGAGCTTGGGATGAAAGTTCCCAGCAGCACCTCCCCCTCCGCTGCTTTCTTTAATAACAGAAGACTTGTCTCTGCCAAGCAATAACTTTCTTGCCTTGTCCTCTACAGGGAAACCAACGAAAAGCGTGCTGGTGGTGGCTCTCCTTGTCATATTCCAGGTGAGCTTTGTTCCCTCCACCTCCACCCACTCCCGAGCCCAGGTATGGGTGAAAAAGCTGGGCATTTGCTAGAAGAAAACAGATGACCCAGCCCCAGCCCACCTGCCACTCGTTAGGCTGATGGCAGCCCTTCTTGCTCTGCTGAGTGACCCTGGAGAGCCACAGATGTTCTCTGGGCTTCCTCCACACCACTTAAATTAAGACATTACCACCACCTTCCCCACCCCCTCTGCAGTCTCCCCACCCAGGAGTCAGAAACATGACTGTCTGAGTTCTTGGAGAGAGAAAAGCTGCAAAGGCTGAGAGGCTGGGGGAGTGGGGGGGGGGGGGTTAGCACACGTGTGCACATACCCCCATGTGTAAAACTCCACATGTGAACTAAGGAAAGAACCTTAGCCTGATGACCTGGCTACTATCCTTTCACCCCAAAGGTGTCTGCCTCAGCCTTCAGCCAAAGGCTCCCTATGCAGCCCCAGTTCTTTTTGTGAAATAGAAACCCATCCGGCCTCCTTGCAGGGGAGGGCAGAAATGATGGGGCTCCAGGGAAGCTGAGGGGGTGGGGGAGTGGTAGATGAAGCACATACTCTAGGGGACCTACACTCCGCAGGAGAAAAGATCCCCATCTTACAAGGTCTGTTTCTCAGTCCCAGAAGTGGACACAGAAACGATACTCCACCCAGTGCCAGAGCCCCCATTTGTTAGAGGTGGGTGCCTCTTGGAGGGGGAGGGAGCATGACTGACGCCAGAGCTAGAGAGGCAACACTTCAGAATTTGGCTCTTGTTCATGTCTGGAGGCCAGAGCGGCAGTTTTCCAGGAGTGCAGGCCAGAGGCAGGCCCCAAGCTGGGCACTGTTCCCAAAACCCCATCCCAGAGGCCCCCCAAAGCTTGGGCTGCAGCCATAGCCTGGCCCCCTTCCCCATCACTGCTCCCTCCCCTCTCTGCTGTCTCAAGACTCAGAGGACTGGATTGCTGGCAGTGGAGACTGGAAGGTTGGGGAGGGGATGGGGATGGCTCTGTTTCATTCTTCTCCTTCCCTCGGTTGGGCGGGTGGGCTCAAACAGAGCAGGATATGATGGGGCTGTGGGCTAAGAGGCTGCAAGACTGGGGTGGGAGAGAGGGGATTATGGAGCAGGAGCAAGGTGTAGGGGGAGAAGAAGAGAAGGCAGGACTCCATGGTGGAAGCACACTTCATAGAGGCAGGGAGGACTGCCCTCCAGGAAGACCCAGAACTCCTGTGTCCAGGGACTCCAGATGTGAGACTTTGGCCCCTACCATGGGTAGACCAAGGGCTGCCAGCTTCCTCCAGGGCTCCCAGACTGCAGCCAGTCCCAGCAGGGAAAAGGGGTTGCCTCGGACTTTCTTTCTCAAGCTGGCAATGCCCAAAGAACGGGCTCCTGGACATCACCCTGCCCCCAAGCAGAACAGTGATAAATTCAGAACTTGGAAGTACAAAAGACAGAAACAATATGCAGAGAGTCTCTCCAGCTTCCTAGTGACATAAAAATAATTACTGCATGCTGAGAGCCTGGTTCCAGGAGGCAGAACTGCAGGCTTCCTGAGGCAGGTCTTCTAGCACAGCTCCCTGCCCAGCGTGAACGACTGAGCATGTGAGTCAAGTCCATCCATCCACTGCAGTACACCGAGGCTGGGACAGGCGTGTGCCCCCCTCCTTCATTGATAAAAATCAAAACAAGCAGCTGAACCTTACCCTGCCCTGCAAACAGGCTAAAAAAAGCCCCCAGACAGCTGAGCCCTGCTGATTGGGATCTGCCGGAAGACAGAGTGAGGGGGAGAGAGACAGAGAGGTGGGGGGAGAGGATGAGAGCAGAGAGGGAGAGTAAAAGCCATGCTTCCTTCTAAGGGCACCACTGCTGAACAGGGACCCAGTCACAGCCGAGGGAGGAGGCCTTGCATCCATTCACAGGGTTCAGTGCCCTTAGGCATGTGTTGTCTGAGCTCCCCGCTGGATGCTGAGCAGACATCAGGGATCCATAAAAGTCTCCAAGTCGCTCCCCACCCATGATCACAGTAGTTTGCACACTCCAGGGGCTTCCTGGACTCTTCGTAAGAGCTTTGCCTTCCTCTCTTCTCACTCTAGAGCCTCCTCAACCCTGACCCCAGAGTGGGCTTTCTGTCAAAAGCTGAAGTATTTCATAGCCCTCTGGAAAACTCTTCCCAGCAGGCTCTAAAGGAGGTACAAGATGAAAGACCTATATTCTGACTCACATGTAGTTTTCAAAGGGCAAAAATATCCAACATGGAAATGAAATGGTGCCAGAACCTGGGCTGCTGGGTACCTCACAAAAGCATATGAAAGAGATGGGATTGATCTCTATTTCTTTCTTTCTTTTCTTCTTCTTTTTTTTTTTTTTTAAGAGAGAGAG